CTAGTTGGTATAATGTTTAGTGGAAACACACAGTGCTTCTCTTTCATAGTCTGGCTTGCTTCACTCAGCAGTAAATCTTCCATATTTGTCCACTTTCTATCAAATGTCAAGATCTTGTTTCTTATGACTGAGTAGTATTCCACAGAGTATATGTGCCACACTTTTTCAGTCCATTAATCTGTTCATGGACATTTGGGTTGGTTGCATGTCTTAGCAATTGTGAATAATGCTGCAATAAACATAGATGTGCAAGAACTTTTCCGATTAAATGTTCTCCTGTCTTTTGGGTAGATACCCAGGAGTGGGCTTGCTGAATGATAAGGTAGATCTTTGAGGAACCTCCCTATTGTTTTCCACAGTGGCTGTACTAATTTACATTCTTTCTAACAGTGTAGGAGAGTTCCCCTTTCACCACAGCCCTGCTAACACTTACCATTTTTTGTATTTTTAATCTTAGCCATTCTGATTGGGGTTAGGTGGAATCTCATTGTGATGTTGAGCATTTTTTTGTATGCTTTTTGGCTGTTCATATGTCTTCCATAGAGTGTTGTTTTTTCAGCTCATTTTCTCACCTTTCAATTGGGTTGATTTTTTTTTCCCGTTCAGTTAAAGCCTCTTGAGTTCCCTGTGTATTCTCGTTATCAGTCCCTTATCTGAGGCATAGTTTACAAAAATATTCTCCCATTCCAAGGGTTGTCAATTCACACTAATTTCTGTGTCTTTGACTGTGCAAAAGATTCTTAATCTAATGTAATCTCATTTGTCTGTAATCTAGTTAATGGTTCATCAATTTTGTTTTTCTTTGGAAAAACCAGCTTTTGGTTTCATTTGTTTTCTATATAGTTCTTTTATTCTCTATTTCATTTATTTCTGCAAGAATCTTTATTATTTATTTTCTCTTGGCATTTTTGTTGTTGTTTTTCCAGTTCCCAGGTATGTGTGGTCAGTCATCTATTTGCTACCTTTGCATCTTTTTCTTATGTGCACTAATTTATATGTACCTAGCTCTTATAACTGCCTTTACTGTGGTCTGTAGATTATGGAAACTCATACATTCATTATCATTGGTTTCAATGAATCATTCAATTTCAGTCTTAATTTCTTCAGTGGTTGTGAAGTCATTTCAGGAGTAGGTTGTTTGTTTAGTTTCCATACATTCGTGTATTTTTGAGGGACTTTCCTGAAATTAATTTCAAGTGGTCAGAGAAGATGCTGGATATAGTTTCTACTCTTTTGAATTTATAAAGGCTTGTTTTGTGCCCTATCATGTTGTCAATCTTCCAAAAGGTTCCATGCAGGGGTGAGAAAAATGTATATTCTGTGGTTGTTTAGTGAAAAATCCTATAGATATTTGTCAAGTCTGTTTCATTTGTGGTATTTTTTGGATCCTGTATCTCTTTGATTACTTTTTGTCTAGATTATCTGTCCAAAGGGGATAGTGGAGTGTTGATATCCCTAACAATTGGTGTGTTGCAATCTATATCTCCCTTTATATCTAACAATCTTTCACACATTTGGGGGCTCCCAAGTTAGGTGCATAGATATTTGTAAGTATTATATCTATCTAATGTCCTTCTTTGTCTCTTCTCACAGTTTTCATCTTAAAGCCTATTTTTTCTGATATCAGTATTGCAACTCTAGCCTTTTTTTAATTTCCATTTGCATGGAATATCTTTCTTTCTTTTTTTTTTTTTTTTGAGAGGAGTTTGCTATAGGGCACGTGTGCTCGCCAGACAGACAAAGAGAGACAGAGAGACAGAAAGAGAGAAATCACCCCCCAGGGGGTGATGGCCACGCCGCAATCCCTTCTCATCCATTCTCCTCTCAGGATCTTGGGCACACACGCCCGGCGTGAGTTTAAGCCACCAGGTCTGGGACTGGAACTGCAGTCGACTACATGGGAGTCCAGCGACATAGTCATTATGCTAACTGCTGGTCCCTGCATGGAATATCTTTTACCAACCCTTCACTTTTAGTTTATAGTCTTTACCTATGAGGTACATTTCTTGTAGGCAACAAATAGAGGGTTTCTGTTTTATTATCCATTCAGCCTGTCTGTGTTATCAGTCCCTTATCTTAGACATCCTTTACAAAAATATTCTCCCATTCTAGAGTTGTTGATTCACACTAATTACTGTGTCTTTTGCTGTTGATTGGAGAATTTAATCCACTAACATTCAAAGTTTTTGTGAAATTTCAGATTTGATCTGCCAACATGTTAGCTATTTTCTTGGTTGTTTTTTGTTCTCTTATTTCTGTCTATCTCTCTTTAGTTTTCCTGATATAATACTCTCCTCAGTACTTCTTGAAGAGCTGGTTTAGTATTGGTTAATTCTTTCCATTGTATTTGTCTGCAAATTATTTTATTTGTTCTTCCTGTTTGAAGGATAATCTTGCTGGATATAGTATTCTTAGTTGAAATTGTTTTTCTTTAGTATTTTGAATGTCTTTCCATTCTTTTCTAGTCTGTATTGTTTCAGTTAAGAGGAATGATGTTGGCCTAATAGTGTAACCTTTGTAAGTGACTTAACGTTTCTCTCTTGCCATTTCAGAATTGTATCTTTGTCTGTAATTTTTAGCATTCTGGCTATGATATGCCATGTAGAGGATCTTCTTATGTTTATTCTATTTGGGGTCCTTTTTATTTCTTGGGTATTGGTATTTGAATGCATCTCTAGGTTTAGGAAGTTTACTGCAAGTATTTCATGGAATATATCTTCTTTGCCCTTGTTTAATTAATCACCTTCTGGAATATCTTTTAGAATATTCTGGTGTTTCCATAGTGTTAAATATTTACCTTATTTCCCATATGTTGTCCTCGTCTTTTAAAGGTCCTTTTTGTGGCTTTATGTAAGTCAAAGGTTTTTGTCTTCCAGCTCAGAGATTCTGTCTCCTGTATGGTCCAGTCTCTTGTTAATATTTTTGAGGGACATCTTGATTTCCTGTATTACTGTCTTCATCTCTAGAAGTTCCAGTTGTTTGTTTGTTTGTTTGTTGTTTTTTTGTTTTGTTTTGTTTTTATGGTGTCTATCTTCTCCTTTAACTCCTGGATAAACTAATTTATCTCTGTCACCATGAATATTCTGAATTCCTGGCATTTTTATTCCTGCAAATTCTTTTGTGCTGTTCATGGTTGCAGATGAGTTGCTCTTTTCCTTCTGTCTCTTCACTGGTTTCTAGTCTTCTTATGGGTTATACATTTTTTCCTATTTTTCTGGTATTGATTCTACAGTGTCCGAGGGAAAAAGAGCTCTACTTCTCAGATGTGTTCTTGGTAGAGAGCTTTGTCTTCCAGTCAGAGAAATGAGTATGTAGCCATGATTAGGTGTTGATTCCTTTCCCAATATCTTCAGACCAAGTGCACTTGAGCCTAAGCTGGAGAGTTTCAACTGGGAACACAGCATAGTTCAGAAAACTATGAAGTTGCAAAATATTCCTGGGTGGACAGAAGGTAGCTATAGTTTGAGGTGTTCTTCCTGCCTTGGCTGCCCTCCCAAGACTGCTGGTGCTTCCTGGTCTGCAGCACAGGCTCTGAGAATATTGGTGGCAGACGGATGTACCCAGGATGGGTTGGGAGGCAGGAAGAAGTCTGAAGCAGTCATATGCCTCAGTTACCCTCACTAGGTGCCATTGCTCTCTCAGAAAAGGCAACTTTCTGTGCAGAGACATCAGAGTTAGAGAGGCATGGGAAAGCATGATGTGTTCAGCAAATTGTTAAGTCTTTCAGAGTTGCCAGGACCTAAATTATGAGAAGACAAGTGGAAAATTGGTAGAGAGAGGCAGATCTCAAAGGGCCTGTTTTTGTATAATAGTCTCAGTGGAGTGAGAATGCCCATAGGATAGGAAACTAGCAGGGTCTGGGTATCTGTTTAGTACAAAAGTACTGAGAGGAGGTACATAGTAGAACATGTGTCAGAAAAAAGAGAAGGAGCCTGAAGATGGTGCAGAAAAGGCAATGGCAGACAAAGCATCTCTTACATGCTGGTTTATAATAATACCCCTCTTCCAGGGACTTTATAAGGGTCAAATCAGATTATAACTAGAAAAGAGTCTTGTAAAGTGAAAAATGTTATTTATATAGGAAAATTTATTATTACCCTGCATCTTCAGAAAGATGTATTGATAAGGAGTTTGGCCTTTTGAGTCAGACTGTTTGGCTTCAGAAGTTGGTCTGCCAATTACTATCTGAATCATCTTGTGTCTTACTTGTACTGATTCATAGAATGGAGGTAATAATGGTATCTACTGTTTTAGTCTGCTCTCTATTGCTAATAACAATATTGCAGAATAGATGATTTATAAAGAATAAAGGTTTATTTGGCTCCTGGTTTTAGAGGTCCAAGGTTGAGGGGCTGTATCTGTAAGGGCCTTACTGCTGATGGGGACTCTCTACAGAGTGCTGAGTTTGCACATGGCAAGAAAGCAAGAGAATATGTCAGCTCTCCTCTCTCTCTCTCTCTCTCTCTTATTATAAAACTACCAAGATTCAATCATGGGGCCCCATCCTGATGACATTATTCTTACTTACCTCACAAAGGTCTTGGTTTGTAATACTATAGTTGGATTAAATTTTCATCTTATAAATGCCATCACAAAAACAACCAAAATTCAACGTAAGAATTTTGAGTGGGATACATCATTCAAGGCACAAAACCTACTTTACTCATTGGTGTCACGAATAAATGAGGTAATACAGCTATTCAGAAAAGAGTTCATTCATTATAAGCAGCATTAAGTTTTATTACTGTCTTCCAACTGACAATGTCCTTTTTGACTCCATCATTATTTCATTTGAGCAGCTCAGTGAAGAAGGGAGAGTAAGGAATATTGTCCCTTCCACATAGTTTGTTTATTTCCCCCTGTATTTTAGTAGCCAGCATTAATGGCCCCTGGGGCTCTTCAGAGGCTGCTCAAGATCCAGACATCCTCTGCCTAGTAGAGCCCCAGACTTAGCTCATAAATGTCTAAACTGACCACTGCCTCTGCCCCTTCCTCTTTAGGCTTCCGCAACTTGCACGTGGATGACCAGATGGCAGTCATTCAGTACTCCTGGATGGGGCTCATGGTGTTTGCCATGGGCTGGCGGTCCTTCACCAATGTCAATTCCAGGATGCTCTACTTTGCCCCTGACCTGGTTTTCAATGAGTAAGTGCTCCAGATCTCACATAAATCCAGAGACCTGACCAGACTTGTTGTTTCTGATGGTGATGGAAGTGACAATGGAAGTTATTTCATTTGATCAGCAGTTGAGGCAGTGGAGGTCACAGGTACTAAAGTGGCTTTCCAGTCTGAGGTGACTTTGCCCCAAATGTAAAGCCAACTGGTGGAAGAAAAAGGTCGTTGGTCTGAGGCCATCCCTTCCCCACCCAAGACTCAGTATTGGTATTTTGGGCATGCTTCTGGCCTGATAATGATGTTTATCTTAGAATCTCATGGAAAGGCCCCACCCTTTCACTCTGAGCAATAAATGGAAAGGGAAGAAAGACTTTGCTTGTGAGGGCCCAAGTCCTGTCATCCCTTTGCAACCAATGAAGACTACTATTATCATTTGTTGAGCAACTACTTTGTGCCATGTCCATGCTACTTGATTTTATTCTTTTTTTCTTTCTTTTATTTTTTTGAGAGATTTTTTGCTATAGGGCACATGCACTCTCCAGAAAGACAGAGAGAGACAGAGAGACCGAAAGTGAGAAATCACCCCCCAAAGGGGATGGCCACACCACAATACCTTCTCCATTCTCCTCTCGGGATCTTGGGCATGCATGCACACGTGCCCGATGTGAGTTTAAGCCACCAAGTCTGGGGCTCAAACAACCACAGTTGACTACATGGGAGTCCAGCAACATAGCCATTACACCAACTGCTGGTCCCCATAGTAGATACCTTCAAAATCCTGTCTTAATGAGTCCTTATGGCAATCTAGTCTCCCCATTTTGTAGCTAATTAAACTTTTATGGATGGGCAAAGTCAAGTTCAGCAAAATAAAGTGGCTTACTCAAGGTCACACAGCTAGTGCATCCTGGAGACAAGATTTAAACATAAATTTATGTCACTCTCAGCTCATCTCCTGTCTTACCATGCTGATGGGGGTGAGTAACTCTACCACTCTGCGGATATGTGACTTTGCCCTTGCCATTTCCCTTAGCTTAAGCAGGTTTAATTAATACTTGCCTTGCAACCAGCTCTAATTATCCTTCATGAATTTGGCCAAGGGCTCAGATTTCAGAATTACACATTTGTCAACTAAAATCTCAGTTCCCTACATCATTGTCTTTGAACAAAACCCATAACTTCTCTGACTTTCAGTTCTCTTGTCCATTAATAATAATAGAACCTACTTGAATGGTTTGTTATGATAAATACATGGAAGTGATGGGTATGGAATGCCTGGTCCATGGTAGGCAAGAAATAAAAAGAGAAATCCTTTTCTAATTCTCCATTTTCCCAATAGTGATGAACTCTGCATCTGCTGTTTGAGGTTTCTTGGTGGCATTGTAAAGAGAGTTGTCAAGAAAAACCTTCCCAGGGATCTTGAGCTAGTCTAACTGTACAGAAACCTTTTGGTTAGGGTAGGGATTGACCTTCCCTCCCCTTCAGCCCTCTAACCCAGAAGAGACTTAAAATAAAATCTACAGGCCTGTGGTTCTTTCCAGTACAGCAGTACCATCCAAGGGAGAGTGAGTGTCCCCAGCTGCCCTCTCCCAACCTAGCCAGTCCTGGTAGCCAGAAGCTAAGAATAGCTTCTGAACTTTTGACACAACCTACTTCGTGGTTTCCAGACCTCCAAAGAGTTATCTATGAAGCCATCTTCTGGGGCTGGTTTGAAAAGCCCCCTAACTGTTCGTTTCCCACCCCCAAACTCCTGCCCAGCAACATAGCCATTACACCAACTGCTGGTCCCCATAGTAGATACCTTCAAAATCCTGTCTTAATGAGTCCTTATGGCAATCTAGTCTCCCCATTTTGTAGCTAATTAAACTTTTATGGATGGGCAAAGTCAAGTTCAGCAAAATAAAGTGGCTTACTCAAGGTCACACAGCTAGTGCATCCTGGAGACAAGATTTAAACATAAATTTATGTCACTCTCAGCTCATCTCCTGTCTTACCATGCTGATGGGGGTGAGTAACTCTACCACTCTGCGGATATGTGACTTTGCCCTTGCCATTTCCCTTAGCTTAAGCAGGTTTAATTAATACTTGCCTTGCAACCAGCTCTAATTATCCTTCATGAATTTGGCCAAGGGCTCAGATTTCAGAATTACACATTTGTCAACTAAAATCTCAGTTCCCTACATCATTGTCTTTGAACAAAACCCATAACTTCTCTGACTTTCAGTTCTCTTGTCCATTAATAATAATAGAACCTACTTGAATGGTTTGTTATGATAAATACATGGAAGTGATGGGTATGGAATGCCTGGTCCATGGTAGGCAAGAAATAAAAAGAGAAATCCTTTTCTAATTCTCCATTTTCCCAATAGTGATGAACTCTGCATCTGCTGTTTGAGGTTTCTTGGTGGCATTGTAAAGAGAGTTGTCAAGAAAAACCTTCCCAGGGATCTTGAGCTAGTCTAACTGTACAGAAACCTTTTGGTTAGGGTAGGGATTGACCTTCCCTCCCCTTCAGCCCTCTAACCCAGAAGAGACTTAAAATAAAATCTACAGGCCTGTGGTTCTTTCCAGTACAGCAGTACCATCCAAGGGAGAGTGAGTGTCCCCAGCTGCCCTCTCCCAACCTAGCCAGTCCTGGTAGCCAGAAGCTAAGAATAGCTTCTGAACTTTTGACACAACCTACTTCGTGGTTTCCAGACCTCCAAAGAGTTATCTATGAAGCCATCTTCTGGGGCTGGTTTGAAAAGCCCCCTAACTGTTCGTTTCCCACCCCCAAACTCCTGCTGCCTTAGAGTGATCAAATCAATTCCCTGAGTACCTGCTCCAACTTCCCCAGAACCCTGAGGCCTTTGGAGCTTTGCAAGGTGATAAATGGTTATTTTCAAAATTCTCATTTCCTTCTCTGCCTCTGAATATCATGTGACACTCCACTTCAGTTTTCTAACCCCAGTCCCATTCATCTCATCAAAAGGTGTCACAGTTATCCACAAGGTCAAAGGTCTAGGCACACAAAGCCTCTGTGCTTCTGAGTAACCGCCCACCCTTCATCTTGTAGAAACTCCCGCTTAGAGCTCTCAGGGTCCCTACAAATATCTGGACCAATGTGGATGCTATTGACATTTGGGGAAGAATAATTTTTCGTTGTGCAAGATGTTCTTGCAGATTGGAGTATGTTTAGTATTCCTTGCACCTGCCCACTAAATACTAAATAAGATTACAGTCACTCTGAAAATCCAGACAGTTTGCACAGATTTCTCACACCCTTAGGGGATGCAGTACTCTCCCGTTGAGAGCCACTAACGTCTGTCAGCCTCCTCAAAATACTAATGGAAACTGAGGCCCAAAGCGAGAGATAGGCACTTGCCCAAGCTGTGGAAAGCCACTCACTGATCTCTATGACACCAAATGTTATCATCAATTCTGTTTTCTTCTTTCCTTCCATCTTTGTGAAGAGCACATGTAGTAAGGATAATGAGCTTGAGCCCTAGCTGTATGACATTGAGTAAATGACTAAACTTCATTGAGCATTAAATATCCTCTGTAGAATGCTGAATATTATCACAATAACACCTTCTTTTTTATTTTTTAAAGAATTATTTTATTTAGGGACCAACAGTTGGCATAATGGTTATGTCACTGGACTCCCATGTAGCTAACCACAGTTCAAGTCCCAGACCCGGTGACTTAAACCCACACAGGGCACAAGTGTGTCCATGGCCAAGATCCTGAGAGAGTGGAAGAGAAGGGATTGTGGTGTGACCATCCCTTCTGGGGATGATTTCTCTCTTTCTGTCTCTCTGTCTCTCTCTGTCTTTCTGACAAGTGCACACACCCTATAACAACAACAACAAAAAACTCTCCAAAAAAAAAAAGAATTATATTATATAACTTTATTTATTTGACCAGAGAGGGGTAGAGTGACAGAAAGAGAGAGAGGGAAAGTAAGAAAGCAAGCCACCAGGTCCAAGACTCAAACTGCAGTCAGACATGTGGGAATCCAGCGCCCTTAACCACCACAACATCTGCCACACCATAATAGCACTGTCTTATGTGTCATTTATTGAGCACTTACTATACGTTAGGCACTGTGCTCAGTGTTTTCCAATCTTCATTTCCCCTTTTATCTACCTATTCTTGTTCTCATGTGTTTATAGCTCCCAAAATGTGGTAAGGAACAATTAGTATATAAGGGAGTGGACTCCTCTTCCACAGAGCACATTAAGATTAGACATTCAAAAAGCAAATTTTATTCCTTTCCTTCCTTTTTTCCCTTTCCTCCCCTCTCCCTTTTCTTCAACACTCCCTAGTATTTTTGCTCCTTCTCCACCCCTTCCCCCCTTCTTGTTCCCTTCTCCTCTGCATTGCTTCCTCTGCCTTTCCCTCTTCTCTTTTCTCCTTTCCTCACCTCTGTCCCTGGATTCTACAGCAATGTTATAGGAATCCTCTACGCCAGGACCATGATTTCAGTGGTAAAATACTGCAGTGTTATCAACAGAGTCATGGAGCACAATGAAGAGTGCACCAGGGTCAAGCCCCAGAATCAGCAGATCTTACTAAAATATTCTTTAGGGTAACAAAGCTTGGAACAACACTGTTTTGGTCAACAGACTTTTGATGTCATCCAAATACTCTCTTTCCAGCTGGGCTTCTGCCTGAATTGAATAATTCTACACCGTATCTCCCCTTCTCTTATACTCGGGGGTGGGGTAGCCAATATTTCTCTAAATAAGAGATATGATATAGTAGAGCTCCTATCCAAATAATAGCAGGCTTTCTCAGCCCCTGGGCCAGGCTAGTTGCTTAGGGACCAAATGTCAAACCACAGTCACTAGACTCCATCTGGGAGGCCTTCGTCCTCACCACTTACAGGGGTGTCAGATTCCCTTTCCTTTTTCCACATACTCCCCAAACAATGTGTCTTATGTCTTACACACACACACACACACACACACACACGAGTGCTGAGTAATTGAAGGCATGCTAGCAGGAAGATGCTATGTCTCTTATTAGAGGCATGCCATAGTCACTCATGATACAAAGGTCATTCCCCCTTAAGAACCTATCCAAGCCTTGAGACCAGCAGTTAGCATAATGGCTGTGTCACTGAACTCTCATGTAGCTGACAGCGGTTTGAGTCCCAGACCTGGTGGCTTGAACTCATACCAGGCGTGTGTGCGCGCATGCCCAAGATCCTGAAAGGAGAATGGAGAAGAAGGGACTGCAGTGTGGCCATCCGCCCCACCCCCACCCCGGGGAGTGATTTCTCGCTTTCTGTCTCTCTGTCTTTCTGGTGAACGCACACGCCCTATAGCAAAAACCTCTCCAAAATAAAAAGAACCTATCCAAGCCTTGGCCACATCCCTGTAAAATTTATTGGTGATAATGTGATGATCTGTTCACGAGTCACTTCAACGCAAGCAACTCACGTTGTGTTTACAGATCCCAAACTGTGGTAAGGATCAGCTAGTATATGAGGGAGTAGGCTCCTCTTCACCAGGGAACATTAAGATTTTTTTTTGGAGAAGTTTTTGCTATAGGGCGTGCGTGCTCGCCAGAGAGACAGAGAGACAAAGCGAGAAATCACCCCCCCCACCACCAGGGGGAATGGCCATGCCACAGTCTGTTCTCCATTCTTCTCTCGGGATCCTGGGCACACACGCACATGCGCCTGGCATGAGACACCAGGTCCAGGACTCGAACTGTGGTCGACTACACGGGAGTCGGGTGACATAGCCATTATGCCAACTGCTGGTCATACCAGGGAACATTAAGATTAAGACAGTCAAAAAACATTCCTTTACTCTCCAGGAATTTGAGGAGCATTTAAACTCACTTTGAAAGGACAATGTGAAATCTCCTTTGCTGAGAGTTTTTAAAGAAATGCTTATGCTTAAATTTTTAGTACGGGAAATGTAATTCTAGTCAGGAGGCTGGAGGCTTGAAAGGATTAATGCCTGTGGTCATTAGTAAATCCTGGTGCTCTTATGTTAAGAACTGATTACTGGTCATCTCTCCTAGAAATCCTCCCAGTTGGGCTGCCTGGGAGACAGATTCTGGCTCTGGCTGAGCCTGGAATATTAGGACTGTAGACAGGGAAACCATGTACCTGCCCCAATGTGTTCGTTTAGGTTTTCATGTCCCTGTCTCAGGAAACAGAAGGGACACAGAGAACTGGAAATTCCATATGCTAACCCATATCCTGGTCAGGGAAGATGAGTGGTTATTAAGTAGTTATAGGGATGTCTGGATTTGGGAGAAAAAAAAGAAAAAATATATACAACTTTGTTCCTTGTCACTTAAGCACCAGCTGAAAAAACAAGTTTTCTTTGAGAATCTGGGGAGGGAGGGCAACCAGAGACATTTCTTCTGAGCTTGTTTTCAGCCTCCTGTCATTCTTCTTCTATGTGTCTCCTTCCCAGGTATCGCATGCACAAGTCCCGGATGTACAGCCAGTGTGTCCGAATGAGGCACCTCTCTCAAGAGTTTGGATGGCTCCAAATCACCCCTCAGGAATTCCTGTGCATGAAAGCCTTGCTACTCTTCAGCATTAGTAAGTACCTTGAGGTGTAAATCATACCCCTGGGGGCACACAGGCTCAGAAGAGCCACTTTAAAAGTTTATCAGGGAGAAGCCAATTCCTGGACATTTTCTTCTCTCTCCCCACCTCCACTCTCCAGCATAAGACTAATCTCTTTGTTAGAATCCTTCCTCTATAAGATATCCACCTATCCCCAGCCTCTCTTTGAGACAAGACCTTTTTGACTGGTTGTGGCAAGTCTCAGAATTTTTCCATGCTTCTGCTATAGAAACTGGCATGGGCCACTTGTAGGGCAATAAGTAGAGCAGGAAAGATTGCCTCATGAAAGGAATCTCCTCTTCTACCATCAGGAAGAGGTCTATGTAAGTAACTCAGACAGGTTTTATTTGGAAGCCAAGGAGTCCTTTCTTAGCCTCTGTGAGGGAGAAAGGGGAGAAATTCAATATTTAAATGTGTTTCGATTGACAAAATCAGAGCTAGACTGTAAACAACAACAAAAAAACTCAGGTCCTAAGAAATAGGTACATGAAAAAAAGAAAGGGTTAGTAAATTTCATTTACTTGACTTCCATCAGACTGGATCTGTCTATCCTTTCCCCAACATTTCCCTGGCCGACTGAATGCCCCAGGCATATAGACATCAACCAACAGGAAAACTAGTAGATGGTTCCCTCCCTGTGGGGGTGGGGGTCAAGTTTGTGGACAGAAAGTTTGGCACTTTGTCTAATGCTTCTTCTTCCCCTCCCCATTCTGTCTTCATCCCAAATCAGTTCCAGTGGATGGGCTGAAAAATCAAAAATTCTTTGATGAACTTCGAATGAACTACATCAAGGAACTTGATCGTATCATTGCATGCAAAAGAAAAAATCCCACATCCTGCTCAAGGCGCTTTTACCAGCTCACCAAGCTCCTGGACTCTGTGCAGCCTGTAAGCAAATGATGGAGGGTGCTTTATCAGGGAGAGCAGCCTGATAGAGCCCAGTGATAACATGCTCCTCTAGGGTTTGGCACCACCTGTTGGGAGGTGCCTCCATTCCCCTGTGGCTTTGAATGTGGTCCAGGAAGAAAATGCAGTGGAGTTGAAAGTGGCACAGGTCACAATGTCCCAGCTGGATATTGTGAAAGAGGTGGAGGAGTTGAGAACAGAGCAGTTGGGACTCAGGGAAGACACTTAGAGCAGATGAATTCAATTCTGTAGGCAGACAAAACAGACCTGGATGTTTTCCCTCTCTTCCTTGAATCATGTGTATGAGTTTGCCTCTGTGTGCATGTGGGCGGGGGGGAGAGAAAGGGAACATGTATGTGTATGCATGTGAGTACTGGAGAAGAAAACACCCAGTCCTGAGTCAGAGAGCTTGCAATGGTGTAAAAGATCTCTCGGAAATTCTCAATGACTCTTTGGAGATAATTTCACACTTGTGTACATGCATGCACACACATACACAGACACACACACCACTTTATGGGGGATGATACAGGACAGGGAAACAGGGAAGGAGAAATAAACAAAAGGCTAAAGGGCAGGAAATTGGAGGTGGGGCAGGGGGTGGCAAAGACTCAAGCATAAGCTAACTTCTTGTCATCCCTATTGCCTCTTTCTCTCTCTCTCATTGTCCCCTGCAGATTGCACGAGAGCTACATCAGTTCACTTTTGACCTGCTAATCAAGTCCCACATGGTGAGCGTGGACTTTCCAGAAATGATGGCAGAGATCATCTCTGTGCAAGTGCCCAAGATCCTTTCTGGGAAAGTCAAACACATCTATTTCCACACACAGTGAAGCTTTGGAAGCCCAATGTTCCCACCATATCCCACTCCCCTTTTCAGATGTCTTCTGCCTGTTATAACTCTGCACTACTTCTCTGCAGTGCCTTGGGGAATTTCCTCTACTGATGTACATCTGTCATGAACATGTTCCTGAAGTCTATTTACTGGGATTTTTTTCTTTCTCCCTCTTTTTTGTTTTCCTTCTTACCTCCCTATCTGACCTTCCCACCATGGCACCGTCAGACTCTGCTCCCTGTCATGACTCCTATCTGTGCTTTGAAATGTAGTGTATTTCTTTAAATGACTCTGCTCCCTGTCATGACTCCTATCTGTGCTTTGAATGGTAGTGTATTTCTTTAAATCTGTAATGATTCTCAAATGGCCCAGTGTCAAGTTGTGCTTATTTACAGCACTGCACTGTGTGCCAACCACACAAATGTTTACTTAACTTATGCCATGGGAAGTTTAGAGAGCTGAGTATCTGGAGCTGGGGGGAGAGTTTTTTTTCCTGGAAAAAAATACATATGATATATGACATATAATACATATCATATGTATTATATGTCATATATATAAACAAACAGAAATCTCCCAAAAGGGCAACAGTGACTAAAGGAAAATGAAAACAGTAGGCCCATGAGGAGTCACTGGTTTTTTTCATCCCTTCCTTTCCTGGGAGACTTTATTTTCTGCCAATAGCTATTGCCAATAGAGGGCAGGGTGACCCCAGAGTCAAGTTGGGGAGGGAGGGAGGAACAAAGAAAGAAAGGAGAGGACAGATGGATTACTAGTACTTATGCATGGTCTGGGCCCCTGGGGGCTAGACTGCTCAACTGCAGTGCAAATCTTGTGCTGAGAATGTGCTTTTTGGAAAACTTGTCTGCATGGGAATGCCTCCCCGCACTCCACCCCCGCCCTTCCCTCTCCCCAACTCCAACCTTTCTCTCTTTCACTCTCTACCTCCACCCTCAAACTGACTTCAAACAGCATTTCTATGAGCTTTGAATTGAATGTTATCTTTGGCTAAAACCTGACCACTTCCACTGAAGAATCAAGTCAGTGAGTAAAAAGAGAAGAGAGATTCAACCCTGTGGAAGGCCCCATTTAGATCCAGGTCTGCTTTCCCATGTATGAGCCAGGGGAGACCTTGGAACTGGAGGCATAGGAGAAGTGATGACTTGGCTATTTTCCTGCTTAGGATGCTGAATAGATGATCCTCATTGCCACTACCTTTTACTCCACCTTTAAAAGAATGAAGGCACCACAACCAAAAGCCCTGAAAATGTTCGCCTTTAAAAGACCTGAACGAAGTTTTTGCTAGGCTCCAGGTGGTCACAAACTCCCTCCACCTGCCCTTCAATGTTTTGTAGGCCTGAACTTCACCACACTGCATTTTAGCCATGGTGCTGAAGCTGGTTCACTTCCTTGGGCATGTTCACAGACTCTCTGCTGAGAAACCCCAGCACCAAGAAGGCTAGCAGGCCAGCAGCCCTAACATCTATCTCTAGTTACCAGTAGTCTCAAAGACCTCTTGCCAAATGTCCCTCATCAACCTCAAGACTGTTGGAGCTCTTAGACAAATTGGAGAGCTGACTTCAAAGGGATCAGACAAGTGGGGAAATATTGCTCTTGTCTCCCATAGGTGATATCCTACCCCCCAGTGGAGAAATTCCCACTTCCTTCTTTATAACCACCAAAGAGGCTGTCCAAATCAGGGTTGATGAGAAAACTCAAATACCAAAGTAGAAAGAATGAAGGCACCACAACCAAAAGCCCTGTAAATGTTCTCCTTGTCACCCAGTATATGTTCCTGTAGGACTCATGGGAAGAAAAGAAAAGGAACTAAGAAGAGACTCAATTAAATTAAAGTCTTTGAAGGCAAAGCATAAAGCCACATGAGCACCATCTGGTAAATTACTCATCATCAACTTCTGCTTATTCTAGGCTCTGACATTGACCATCTTCATTCAGATTCTCTACCATTATTGCTGCCACTCAGTCAAAGGGAGGTTAAATCATTGAGACTTTCTATAGAACCATGCTTCTTTTGGAATGATCTGATTGGTGTGGCTCTGATAGGTAGCCACCCATGAATTCAGGGTGTGTTCTTAGGACACTTGTTTTCTGTGTTTTTTGGCACACATCTGTGTTGACTTTCTTCCCCTACCTGAGTGCATGGGGCATGAGGATGGATGTCCACTTACTTTTTTATCTTGGCCACTGCCTCCTCACTTAACTCTTAACTTCATGTGTTAAACTCAAGAAATTAGGGGCCAGTCACCAAGCTGCCCATTTCAGTTCGTTCACTTTCCTTGTTGAGAAGATAGTTTTCAAATGACATATGATCCACACGAATTTCCTCTCCTGATTTCTGTATTGATATTAATAGCCAAACAAAGTTACAAAACAGCTTCTTTAAACATGGGAGAGGGGAACCTAAAATGGATTATATGCCAATTCAAGACTGTTGGACAGGACTATAACTGACTAGTTCTGTTTCGAGGGTGGGATAGACAAATTCTAATTCTCTTTGCTATGCCACCCTCTGACTTATATACAGGATCACTTTTAGCTGCTTTAAAAAGAAAAAAAAATACATCACGTTTTTCAGTTAAACTAGGTTATATATTAATAGTTCCTTTACATCTCTTTTGAAATTATTTTCATTTTTTTGGGTACATGAATTCAGTTATATCATCTAATACTTAGGCTTGTAAATACTAGAGGCTCTCCTTCCATTTGTCTATTGAATTTTTCATCTTTATGGATTTCCCGATTGTGATTCTTGTCTTTATGAATATATATGTTTTTCATTTTCAAAAGCCAAAAATCAGTGAAATTGTATTAAAACAACTGGATTACTTTGAATTTCCAAACAGCAAGACTAGGGGAAAATGGCCTAAACAAGGCTTTAGGCCTGCTGTTTCTGCACTAGGGTTTGAGTGAGAAAAGGAGGTTTTCGGTTTGGCTCTGTTCTCCCATGGATGAAAGAGGGAGGATTTTTTTTTTACATTGATGTTCCAGCCAAACTGAACAGAAGTCTAAGTTTGTATGCACTGTGCTCTACAAACAGAGATGATGTGATTGGTACACTGTGCTCACTCATGAAAGACTGGCCACCCAGATCCACTCACCCACTTGGTGAGCTGGAAGATGAGAATCACTCACCAGACAAGACACAGAGACTATCTCCAAAGAGGTTTACAGTGCTTGATGGGGATGAAGAGTGAGGAAGAAATAAAGAAGGAGCACGAGGGAGAAAACCCATCTGTGCTGGGAAGTGGACAGCTCCCAGGGTCACGAACTCTGTGGTCAAAAAAAAAAAAGAGTCGTGTGGCAGTTTCAGCTCTTGTTCATTGAGCAGCCAGCCTGGGCCTGGCATCTAAACTGACACAGGGTTTATATTCTTTGTTCTATAGCTTTTCTATGCCACAGGCAATATTGTTGTTCTTGGAAAGTTATTTTTTTAAATTACCTTACTCTGAGAAAGGGATTTTTTGAAGGATTCTGTCATATATCTTTGAAAAAAGAAAATCAGTAATACATATATTTTTATGTATATTTGATGGCACTTAAAAAAAAAAGCTTCACTCTGTCCTTTGGGTAGTTTCTGAGGTAATTGTCCAGGTTGAGAAATAATGTGTGATGCTAGAGTCTCTTTTTGTCCATACTTTACATCTAAATACATATAGGCATATGTAACAAGATGTATATGACTTGTACTTTAGGAGAAAATATGTATACCACCCACATGATACTGATACTACACAAACAACCTAACTTTGACCTTCAACTAGTTTCTAAATGTTTGTTGCTTAAGACACAGCAGTGATGTGGCCTTGCACCCTTCTCTCTCCCTTAATATCAGGCAAGGCACAAAGACCCAGCACCTTCCCAGCCCTGTACCAGCACTACACTTCAGGAGACTCTTTCCAAGACAACCTAGTAACTATTCATGTATGGCCCCCACATAGCCCTGGAAAAACAAGTGGCTGACTACTAATTATTCCGTGTGCCCAGGTGAGAAGGCACTGGGCCAAAGGGGTAGTTTCCATGTTTAACACACTGTAGGAGGGTGCTAAAGCAACAGATCAAACCCCAAAGCTGAATAAGCCATTTAGCATATGCAACTTCTTAGAAAAGGAAGTTTCTACCCCTTATGTTTTTATAGGCAGATTTATCCTCACTCCTGATCTCTTTAAAAAAAATCTTTGAAAGAAGTTTTTAAAAAGTAAAAAAAAAAAAAAATTAAAAAGAGATGAAAGCATCACGTTATGCAACCAAAGACTACATTGTATCTGCTAACATACCAAAATCTTTAAAGGCAGAGAGGGAGCAAGCATTATTGCCTCTTTGGTAAGCTATCCAAAGGCAGACTAAAGGACTTTGATGGTGACTGACTTATGTGGGTTTTTTTCCCCCACAATATACATGTTTAGAAAAGTTGAAGATAATTTGGAGGAAATAGGATTATGGGTCCTTCACTAAGTGATTTTATAAGCATAACTAGCTTTCTTTTTCTCTAGTAGTTGCTGAGTAAATTTTCAAAGCTCCATCATTGCATGGTTGGAAATGGAGCTGGTTTTGGCCACTGTGTTTGCTAGTGCCCATGTTTGCTTATCTTAAGATGTAAAGCTCTGCTGAGAAAGAGAGAATACAAAGGAATAGATTTTGCACTAGAAGGACAGCAGGCAGAAATTTTGATTTCTGCCCACTTCAGACAGCACAAAAGATTCTCTGCAGTTTAAGGCAGAAGGTTGAAAATATATTGTAAATGAATACTTGTATCCATGTTTCAAAACTGAATTATATATAGAGATAGATACAATGTGTTCTAATAGCTTTACCTTTCTCTGCACCTTTATATTTGGTTCCAGGTTATATTTGATGCCATGTACTTGTGAGAGAAGCTGCAGTTACATTTTGGAAAGTCTCTCAGAATGGATAAGACACCTAGGTTGACCTTATAACTAAGTGATTTCTGCCCCTACTGGGCCTGATTCATAAGCCTTACAAAAGGGCAGAGGGAGGAAAGTGTAGAGTACATGATGTATTGCACTTTACTAACCCAAGACAATTGAATGTGGAAAAGGTGGCGAAGGCTCATTGGAAATGCCTGGTATTTACCAGAGAGAAGGCTCAGACTTGGGGCCAAAAGCCCACCCAAATGATTGGCCAGTGGCCCCTGATGGGACCTGGGCCCTTGAGAGAAAGAAGGGTGTTCCTGAGTCTTCACCGTACTCGTGAGAGGACAGTTTCCTGCACTTGGGAACCTGGAGCA